AACAGGGAACAACAGCAGCATGGCAAAATGGCCTCAGCTGTGCTTTTTTCTTTTGCTGGCACACCAAGTACCAGGTCAGTCTGAACATGTGTCTGTTGTGTTAGAAAATGTGTTATTGTTATATCTTTTTATAGCTCCTTTATCCTGTTACGCATGCACATTCGGTTTTGTTTAACCAGGAATATATTATAATCATTTACTTTTTAGACATTTTAACACCCGTGACAGTGTTCATTAGTAATCGTCAATATTTTTGATGAGACATTATAATAATTGATTATAAAAGCTGCTACAAGTGTGAGAAATCCTTCCATCCTATGCATAAACCAAGGCCCTGGATCCAGAAGAGCATTTAGAACTGAATTAGTTTGCAATATTTTGTCAAGGACATCAAGTGGACGTCTCACAATTTCTAATATTTCAAGCTGACGTGAGTTTATGAAGGTGTAGCTTGAAATGCCCAACCTTGCACTGTCTTGCTTAGCTACTACTAGACTCCACTTCTAACTCTCTAAATAACAAACAGACACAAGCAGCCAATCACAAAACCTTCCTGCTAAAAGTAATTAATATAAATAATGTGATAAAATTTTGTAGAGTAGGATTTTTGTGGTTGCTGATTTTTTTTACAGCTCTACTGTTGAGTGTTTTACCGCTTATCTTATCGCTTGTATTTCTTGTATTTCATCATTAAACTTAATGATCGCTGCTCACACTTGGCTATATAAGCAGCTGCTACAAATAAATCTCTTCAAAGCTGGTGAGACCCTTTGTGTTTGAGTGTTTCTGCAGAAGTGTTTTTTTTCTATTGTCTTTTGTTTTTCTCAGTGGAAGCCATTTAATAAGTTGCGTGTTATAAAAACTTCACTAAACTAAGTAAAGTCACTGTTTGTTTGAGCTTTATGTCTGATCTTCTCTGTCTGGCATATCTCACTCCCAGCTGTCACCCAGGCATACTAAACACACATTTTAAAGTATTTGTAGTTGACCCAGAGGTCTGATCTGCACTTTTTAAAAAGTTGCTTGTATGACACATTGTATTAATGGCTCTGTCTTTAGCGCTGACAGCGACCCCGGAGGGACTGAGGGTTAGGCAGCATCCTCCATCCCTCAGTGTGATGCGGGGTGAGACGGCAACTCTGTCCTGTCATTTCAAAGTTGAATCCCTAAAGTATGGAGTTCAGTGGTTCAAGTCAGAACAGCAGCTCATCTCAAACTCATCCAGGCAAATCGTTGTGGCGAAGAATCAAACTTCCTCCCTGGTGATCACTAACACTACAATTCAGGATTCTGGGTGGTATTACTGCGAGGTGAACGTCCTGAAGAAGGACCCAGAATGGGGCAACGGCACCAAGCTGGTCGTCTTGGGTAAGAAACAAATCGCTGGTTTCAGAAATGAACATGCCCACAATTTATTAGGACCGCTCCGCCCGGGTGATGTTGCCATGCTGGTAATTATGTCTCATTTGTATCTTTTGTACACCGGAGCCACGACGTTCAGTACGAGGCAGCTCGATACAAGCACCGGCAAAAAACATGTATCACCATAAAACGAACGTAAGGGCTCAATCTATAAAAATTCAAGTCATGTGAAATTCCCTCAGAGTTCATCTTTTTGCCTGAGCAGTTTCATGACAGATCTAGAAATAATCACCCCGGCACCATACGCAGTGCCTTGTATCGATCTTGCCCAGGGAATTGAAACTCCCCAGAAAACAAGGCAGGGAGGGATGGCCAAATTATTATGTGGAAATCCTTCATGCGGAAGAAAGCTTCCTTTTGATATTCCCTGATTGCAATGCTGGCTCCACCGAATAAAAATGGATACTGCATGTTTTTTCATTTTCATTTAATTTCTTATTCAAGATTTATTCTGCCGATTTGAATCATTTTTTTTAAATCAGAATGTTATTGATATAAGTCTACTTGTTGTTAGTAATCTACGCAACATTGCTTTCAAATTATATGCAGTTCAAACTGCAATACTGGACATCAGTAGTAGTAATTGATTCAGTGTAGCAGTATAGAAGACCCTTTGCAGCATTTATTAATACACGATTTCTTTTACTACTAGCACCACCTTCTGCTCCAAAAATATACCTCCAGATTCCCCCAGAACCACACACCGATCAATGGGCTCTCCTGTGTCTCACCGGAGGTTTCTACCCCAGTAGACTCACTCTCACCTGGACCTACCAAAGCGCAGCAACCGTTATCGATCACCTCTCAGTCACCAATTGCACCCTTCCTGCTGACAAGCCTCACAGCAACCTGTCTGAACATCCACCCAATGAAGCCCTGCTGTCTTCAGATTTGTTGGTGAACTCTGAGCCTCGGCGCCAGTCGAAGTGTCTCCAGGTGATGGACAACCACAGCCGGGAAATGTATCTCCTCAGTGTTTTTTCTCTCCCAAATAAGCAGTCCTTGAAAACAGGCATAACCTTCACGTGTTGGGTGCAGGACCACCCTGCCATGACAACTGCTCTGACTGCCTCCTTCACTTGGGGTAAATAAGGCAGGAAAATTAATTAATTTCCTAAATATGTTAATCTTATACAGGAGAAAAGTGTCTCAAAGGCAGCTATTGAGATAATGAATGTAGGATTTTCTTTTTTTATATAATTTAAATTCCCTTTTGGTATTTTTTTAATCAAATTGTTATCCTCCCAATGAAAAATGGGACTTTATGCCACAGGTTTTAATTATTTATCTTTGTTTCTGAAAAAATGTGGTTTTTTCTTCTGTCGGTTCAGCATGACAGATGGTTCTAAATATTACGATACCTACTGTTTGTTAAGGAGAAGGCTGTCAGGGGCATGAATCACTGCTGTAGCAGATTTAGAGCTCATGTCACAGCACAAACACAGCTCCTAGCTGCTGAATTCATCTAACTTTGACCCAGAATAGGAAAGTGAACTAATTTAAACTACTGAATGAATTAAAATGTTTTAGCTTCAGCCTGTTGTTAGCACTTCACACAACCTTAATTAGATTTTTTTTTTTTTTTTTTTGAGAATGCAGTCGACTTTTTATGTAAACTATTGATTAGCTGGCAGGTGCCCATTGTTTATTAATGTCACATAATGCTCTTATCTTGATATTTTTCTGACATCTGATAAATGTGGGCTCGGTAATGTCTGTACTTTCAGTTCTGACAAAACCAGCCTGCTTTTTAGCCAATAAACCAAAGACTGTGTTCACTCACTGTCTGTTAGCTTTGTGCTGTTAAGTGTTTGAGGTAGAAGAACTGGGATTTTGAAAGCTTATGCCTGAAGCGTCTAAAAGAGCAGAAAGTAAAATGGATTAGCAGATTTATGTGTAAAAGAACAACAACATATAAAAACACACAGTCAACAAAACAATGAGCTAAAAGCACAGTTTTTATTAGATGGACATTAGCACTGCAATGTCACCCTCTGGTTTGTGAAGCCCTTGTTTGAAGCCTCTATATTAGCATTTTAGTTTTTTTGTTATTACATATTGTTCTTCTGGAGCCAGAAGTGACCATATTTGGACGACGGAGTGGAATGCTCAGCTATCAACTAACGCAGGCTTGATTAGAAAGGTGTATCCATAGGCTGTATGCAGGCAGGCAAAGAAACCTGGTAATCAGTACAACGCCACAAACACAGTTGAGAGGTCCGGCTCAGTAATTGAAATTAGCACAGGCGACAGCATGCACCTCTCTACCCTTTCCACTCCTAATTTAATTGTAACAGTGATTTTATTTATTGATTGCTTGTTTTAAAGTTTTTTAACATGAGATTTTTTGAGACAGTATAAAAGGTGGACATAGCTACAATGATGGCGACCGTGGCTCAGGGGGTTGGGAAGCGTATCTGTAACCGGAAGGTCGCCGGTTCGATCCCCGGGCTCTCTGTCCTGGTCGTTGTGTCCTTGGGCAAGACACTTCACCTACCGCCTACTGGTGTTGGCCAGAGGGGCCGATGGCACGATATGGCAGCCTCGCTTCTGTCAGTCTGCCCCAGGGCAGCTGTGGCTACAACTGTAGCTGCCTCCACCAGTGTATGAATGCGAGAGTGAATGAATAGTGGCATTGTAAAGCGCTTTGGGTGCCTTGAAAAGCGCTATATAAATCCAATCCATTATTATTATATCAGATACTGGCTTGTGAAGATTCGTATTGAAGATCTGTACGAGGTTAGCGCTTCCACCATCAGCATCTTGTGAAACTTCATGCTTATTGGTTGGTTAATGACTCGTGATGGACAATTCATTAGCCAATGTCGCAGTCTTTTAGGCAATTCTACATTGTCTTTGTTTTTATGGTCAGAAGTGTACGTGCACTCATCATGGGCATTAATGCCATGGTAAGTTTGGGCCTTTAATGATTTATTTGAATTGTTCTTTTTCCAGGGTGGAATGGTTGTACAGCATGCATCTTTAATGACTTTAAAAAAACAAGAATTTGGTGAACAAGTTTATTGTGCATATATACACACCCACTAATATTCCCTTTGCAAGTTGCACTTTGAACAGAAACCTTTGGTAGACACAACCAGGCTCCTGGTGTAATTGTTGTATGGATATTTGACCAACCTTCTTGGGAGAATTAGTAGACTTCATTTAACTTGGTTGGTTTCCAGGCAAAAGTCCATTCCAGAAGAAATTTCAAAACAACTTCCAAGAGCTTTTGTTCAAAGAGCTGTACATAGCATACATAAGAATACAGTTATTCTGATGTGTCAGTAATTCAAGATGATGAGAGGAAATTGGATGGGATGTTCAGGAACAACCCAGAAACCACCAACACTCAGGCCTGCTATGAACTGGAATCTGCTGGAACACCATGTTACTGTCCAGAGTGAAGCCAGTTTTATATCATATTTGACTCAAAGGCAGTCACAGAAAATATTAATGGGGGTGTATGTATATATTTTAGATTTTATGTATAATTTTGACCCTGTGTTAGTTACAGAAAAAACCTTAGACTCAAACCATGACATTCATGCCTGTGATGAGTCAAAGTAAGCTTGTGAGTTTCACTTTTGTTGCCAGCCTCAAGTGGCCAGTTGAGGAACCGCAGCTCTTGCACAGTGGATTTCATTTTTTAGCCCAGGAGACAGTTGCTTCATTTATAGATGCTAAAACATAACCTCACAGTAAAGGTAATTACAGGCTCATGTCATTACTTTAAAAATTTGTTTGAGGAGCTTTAGTTTTTTTTAATGTATACAGGCCTGTGTCTTATTGTGGTGGGGCGTGGTCTGCGGTGCCGTGCAGGGAGGGTGGACGCAACTGCACGGCATCCTTGATCACGCCCACCTAGTTATAAACACGGGGACTCAGGGGTTGGTGTGTTGTGGTGTGACAAATATTGAATAAAATGGCTCAAACCTATGATCCCTGGACCCTCATTCACACCACACTTATACTTTATCAGTCTGATATTTGTAATGCAGTAGCTCTGCCTACAAAACAAAGATTCATCAGGAGATTTTTTTTATATTCATCACAGGCTCAGAGGGGCTTTAACCACAGGTCCCGTTACTTTGTCAAAGCAGACTTTTTTTTTACTGGAATACCCCAAATCTCTTTTTAATCTTCTTTAGTGATCTATAGGAAAAATCCCTTTAATAAACAATGTCTTCACGAACCACAGGTCCTGACATACTACCCGTCACTTGCTCAGTATTCACTACCACTTCACTCTTAATCTGGGTCACACATTGATCATTCCAAAGCAACAGATTGCCTGCAATACTGCATACTTGAACAAATTAATGATTTTCTCCAATCAATCCTTACACACCTCTCCTCCCAGGGAGGAGGAGAACGTCCGTCAGCCAAAGCCAGCTCGACCTCCTTGATTTAAATCTGTCACGCTCAATAACATGACAAGTCGGTGCTAATCAGTGTTTATTTTCTTCTTCTTTTTTACAGATGCCCCACCTAATGAGCTGATTTTATACTTGAACATTGCAAAGATGTGTTTCCTCTCTGCAACGACCGTTTGTCTTTTATTGAATGGTAAGAGTAATTCTGTTTAGCTAGAATTGCATGTAGTTGCTAAAAAAATGTTTTTAATTTTTGTGATCATCAATTTTCTCAATCGTGTGCCACACAGCAGTCAGAAATATCTGGGCAAAGGGAAAATGAAATCTGCCAAGTGAGTACTGTATTCTTCAGCCTTTGACAAACACACATAAGCACACACACACACACACACACACACACACACACACACACACACACACACACACACACACACACACAAGGCTGATTTTCTTATTGTTTTATCCCTGTAACCTATGACACATCATTAAGGAAAAGTCAACAGTGATGCAATAACCAAATATTGTGTTCCAGGAAAGACAAAATGAAAAAGGAGAAAGGATTGCCGGCTGTTCAGCTGAGCGCTTCTCATCAGACCAACCTTTTACAAACAACATTCAACTCATCAGGAAAAGAAAAAACAATTATCAGTGAATGATGTGCACAGGTCCGTCTCACTTTTTCATGTGAAAAATTCTCCAGATTTTAAACCACATCTGTATGCATGTATATTCTGCTGTGCTCTTTCATAGTGTATAATCTGTAATCGCTGATGTGTACAAGTGACTCATCCCTGTAACTTTTTATCCTATGGCATGCTGACTCGCAGATTTTTGGATTTGTGCGTCGTGTCAATGGCTGTTAACCCACACGTCTTAGTCATTCACTGGGGTCTGTTTGTCAAAATGAATGATTCATGCACGATCCACCTGTCAAACAGATACAGTGATCGGCTCAACCTCTGTGCAGGCCTAATCCTCGCTAAATAGGATTACAGCCGATGCCAGCGCTTGCTTGTGTGATAGCATTGTTTATGTTTGCAGCGTGTGGGGTGAGATCTTGATTCACTCTTTGGAGGAAGTTCATTTTAAATTTAGCCCTGCCCACACTGCCAAGAATAAAAAAAAAACAAATACTGGCAGAAATGATAAACATTGAACAGCTGAGTGAGCTGATGGATCTTCAGTATAATCAGATTAGTGACATCAAAAATCAAAGAGGCAGCTCAGTAAGCTTTCTATTACTCATCCTGCTTTTATGTGTAAATACATAAAATGTGCATAAAAACATTTACATATGATATCACTGATATGCCGATGGCAACTGTTGATCACTTGATGCAGGCGGTCATTACGGGCATTTTTCATATTTCTCATCCCCCTTCTTTCCAAAACAAATTAGTCCTTATCTCTTTTCTTCCACTCACTCATACGCACACAATCACCTCGTACCTGTCTGCTGCCAATGTTAAGGTTATTAATTAACTCAATTTATTATTGTACAGTTTGTTTATGAAAATAATGTTTGTGTGGTTTGCTTTTGCTTCCATCAGTCCTTTCTTCCTTTTCCCGTCATTTACACTCACACGTGTGTGTCCACACAAACACTGTTTACACCTGCTGGCGTGGTGTCTTTACAAAATAATGCATGAGTCAGACATCATGCAAAATGTATAATCTTATTTGAATATGAAAATAAGCTTTATTTATGTGTTATTATATTATTACAACCCCCGTTATGCATATATATGTGTACATTCATACATCTCTCTTTCTTTATATATCCCATATAAATATAAGAACAGCCATCATCATGCAAAAAACATTACAAATGCAAACATATGTACAATTACAAAGCGAACTGCTCAGCATGCTTGTATATGCACAAAGATGGCACGCATTTTCGCTTTCTTCTGCTACTTCTTCTTCAACCACCACTGCTTGACACATAATGACCGTATTGTTGCAAGCAATATCCTGTTCACGACTAAGGATGTTGGTTGGAACATTTAATCTCCAATTGCGGAGAGATGACGTGCAACGCTGTTGCTTAGATATTCATTTTGTTACAGTCTCTGCTGCGATGCTCCACAACACCTGCCTGCATTTAAGGGTCTCTGTACTTCTCTTACACTGTGCGAGAAATGTTGTTATGTCCTGGTGACAGTTCAAAGTAGGCTGTCTCTGAGGTTTTACCCGATGCGCTGCATACAAAATTGCCATGGCGTGCTTAGGAAGACTGAAGGTTACCTGTCTCATTTCCAAAAAGGAATGTCATCAAACAAAAATACACTGCACTGTATAAAGCCAAGTCATTTTCTCACATGTGTAAACATTAACATGGCATTAATTTTCTGCTCCCAGGGATGAAGAAATAAGACAACAGTAAAGGCAGCCGCTTACAGGTCCCTTTCTGTCAGCTCAGATAGCATTGATCTCCTCTTGCGTGTGTTCCTTATCTTGTGCAGTCTTGGTAATTCCCCCACACAAGGCCTGGAGCAGGTGACAAGACATGCACCTCTGGAGACGGCTTTTAACCCCTTCCATCACACTACCCACATTCCCTCTCACAGCAGAGGAAGAAAAGTAGAAAATAAGAGGGTCTAGACAGGCATTGAAGGTGCTGCACAGCAGGGCCTTGTCTCTCCACGCCGGACTTTTCTTGTTTATAAAACCAATGATGTGTGAGACGTTGTAGGGTCCAAAACATAGAGCAAACACCACCAGGGTTCCCAAAGCCATGCCCATGGCTCGGATGCGCCGGCGCCGGTCAATGTGTTGCAGCTTTGAGAGAATTCTGATGAAGTTGATGTAGCAAAAACTAGAAATCAGGAAAGGGATGCAGAAAAGCACCACACAAAGCTCCAGGCGCACAGGCAGGAGGACGTTCAGCTGAGACTCGGTGAAGTTCTCATAGCATTGTTTTCTGCTATCGCTGCTAGGGTGAGCTGAGGCGTTGAGGCGTTCAGTGGGGATAAAGGGCACGATAAACACGATACTAAGTTGGGCGGTGGAGAAAATCCAGAAGAAAATGCTGGCAGCTACAGCATACACAGGTCGCCGCTTCAGAGTGTGCCGAATGGGGAAAGCCACACCCAAGTAGCGCTCTACACTGACTGCAGTGAGGAAAAAGGTGCTGTTGTAGATGGTCATGTAGAAGATAAAGCCAGACAGCGGACAGAGGGCATAGGGCATGTTCCACATCATGTCGTTCATTGCTTCCTGCATCTTGAAGGGCAGGAAGATGAGGAAGAGGAGGTCGGAAATGGTCAGGTTGAGGAGCAGAATGTCAATCGGGGTGGGTTTCTGCCTTACTTTCTTACAAAAAGTGTAGAAAGCCAATATATTGGCCGGGAAGCCCAGCACAAAGGTAATGACGTAGACAGAGAGACAAAGTGCTGTGTGGCACCGCTGCGTGGTGGGCTCCATGTGAATCTTTCAACTCGGTCAAGAATTGAGATGTGTCACATTATATCCCCGACCCCGGGGATGAATAGACTGCAGAACAAGGAGGTTTTATCTGTGGGGCAGCACCGACCACAGAAGACGAAGGCTTCTTATTGGCTCAGTGTCCTGGAACAAACCCAACGAGACAGAGCGGTTTTTCTGTCCCCACCAATAAACCACAGCTCATCGTTTCCTCCAGGGCTTTGAGCTCTGCTGATAAGAGAGAATGAAAAGAGATTACCACACAGCACAGCAAACTATTTTAAACTATGAGTATAAAATTGACACTTCATTTGAAAACGTGCTGTTCATACAATAAATGTTTTTCCTACAACAAAAGGTAGGAGGCATCCCAAAGTATGCTGAAATTCTGTTTTTTCTATATTCCTTCTTAATTTTCTTCCACATCACTACTTCAGAGTTTATTGTGGTTGTGTATTATCTCTTAATGAGAAGACAGTGTTTTAACCCGGCACACGAGTTTGTATACAAACCATAATACTGTGTTATTGCTTATTCCTTGTTGTAAATACAGTGCAGCAGTGCTTTTATCATTAAGTCCCAGCCCTTGTTCTTACTGTATACACAAATACTGGACATGTTGTGAAAATGATAACCCTCATAAACTTAATGAGTTAACGACACGAGGGAAATTAGCGTCTCAAAGCTTTACTTTACTTTTACAACACAGTTCTATCTGTATCTGTTTCCTGCATCATCGTATAAAGGAAATAGAAAGTCAAGACAGCAGTAAGGAAAGTTTTATAATCTATAAATCAACCTATTGGAGGAATATTAAAATGAAACTAGTTTCTTACCCTTTATGGGGCAACATCCATCGAGTGAATATCTGTGTCAGACGCTCAGCTCTTATAGTCCAGTGTCTGAGAAGAGGAACTATTTTTTCTAACTATTCTCTATAGTGCTGTGATGAAACTAAAGATTTTACACCAATTTAAGCAACTCGGACAAGTCCACAGTGACAATTTTTGTCAGCTCACAAATCCTCACTCCTGCAACAGACTTCCCATTCTTGGCATTTTTCATGAGCAGCGTGGCTTACCTCCCAGTGCGTCTTCCTTGCTGTTTTGTTTGATCACCTCTGCGCACCTTACCTCCAAGCTGCTGTCTCTTGGCACATCCCCCTATTTACCTGTTAATCTAAACATCCAGTGCAGATAATAGAAATGACTATTAGTGAGATATTGCTGCAATTTATCTCCCACTCTCGCCAAACATGGTTTCCCTGGTAACAACTGGCCTTTTTTTCAGCATGAGCGGTACAGACGGACTCTGTCAGGCTGTTTGATCGTAGGTTTTCTTTACCATATTTAGTCATCAATGCCCAATGCTTCTTTACATTTGCCTCTTTAATATGAGTCAGTGGAGATAAGCATTGGTCAAGGGAGATGGCCCAGTGGCAGAGCGGTCCCTCCTTTTACAGCATGTGGTGAGAACAGCAATGTGGATGATGTTGTTTGAATAGTCATATACTGCACACAGTAATAAAAAAATCTAATAACCCGTGGCTGACTTGAAGACTGGAAAGGCTTTACTTTTAGAGATAATTCTGTATCCTGCTGCAGCTCAAAAACACTCTGAGATATCAGAGGTCAGAGGCCCTTTTTTTGTATTTATCACCTGCTGCTTGACCCTGCTCTACCATCCAAGAGCAGGGTCAAGTTTAAATTGAACAGGTTTAAATGGAGAAGACTGGTTTATTTCAGAAGCAGAGACGTGAGCTTTGGAAGTTAAAATGACTCAAAGGTGAACAAAGAGTTCTTTTGATGTTGCTTAATGTATGTAAATCACTCTGAGGCGGTTTCACTTGTGCTTAAATGCCTGACTCCAACGTTTGACTTTTGGGTATTTAGTCTGACCTAACTTCATGTTAGTTATTTATCCCTTTACCAGGTCAGTTACATCTTGGTGATGCTATTGATCCCATTTAAAAGCCTCCTTTCAACTTCCGTACACCCCAGGCAACGACCAAACAAACAACGTGTGCGGTTCACACAGTGCAGTTATTTCAACAGACACACTGTGTTGCACAAGCTGTTCTGTCCCGCTGCGTGAGCTGATTTTACAGAGTGACATCACGTAGTTTCTAAGATGCTATCTGTCCAAAAAGTTTACTGTAACACTTTGTGGTGTTTCATCATTGAGGACAATTTGACTTGGTGAACAAATCAAATCAAATCCAGGAACAAATTTTTAAAAAAAAATTGGTTTCATTTTTCATTTTTTTATTTTATATTTTATTCTCTCCTGTCCTATAAAATGAAATAATATTCAGATTATTATTTATTATATTACAGTTGCTGTCACTACCAATGGAAAAAGTGTTGTAACAGAAACCTTGCCAGGGTGTCATTGAACTTTCTCTTATTTTGATCATAGCTTTGAGCACAATAATGAGTTTCATCATTCTTAGCAGAAAGAGGAAGATAGGGGACTTAAAAAATATTCCCAAAATTAAATTTCTCAACATTAAGATCTTAGTGAGTTTTCAAATCCACACAGATGACAAAATTCTGGTGGTCAAATACTGATCTGATTTTACTTCCTTAATCGTCTTCAAGTATTGGAATTTCAGGAGTAGGACCACGCCTCCATAAACGCTCCTTCCGGTTCTCTTCTACATAAGTTCCCCCTGTTCTACAAGCTGTTCATTCTTGTTTACATTACCCTCCCTCCCCTTTTCAATTCTTTAACTTCTTCACTTCTATTTAGTACATGGGGATCTGCCAGGCCCGGGAGCTGCTGCCGGTATCCTTCGAGGCGTTCCCCAAACCGCAGCTCAATTCATGTCCAAACCATTCACCTTTACCTACTAAAATGCTGTTAAACCTAAAATAAGGACGTGGGCCCAGCTATTGAAATGAGTCCTGAAATACTTGCATCACTTGCATACTACCATATATGTTTTATTGAAACATTAGATTAGATGAAACTTAGGTTCCTCCAGGAAACACAGCACCAACAGAAGTTGCAGAATGTGAGCAGAAATATACCATATATACAGTTTCACTTTAACTTAACCCAAAACTCAAGACAAACATCAGCCAGTAATTCATTGACTACAATTTTAGAATTATAATCCAATACAGCACAATTTCAGTTTAAGAGGTTTGTGTCTTACCTTTTAGCAGGGCCCTTTGTAGTCAAACGAACCACCGGGATCGTCTGTCCACCTCCTGGCCTCCAGGTTCTCCCTGAACACCTCCAAAAACACCTTTATTGCGTCAGCATCCCTGTACGGGCCACCAAACTGTCACGAGTTCGAAAATGTTGAGCAATGAAACAAACCAACAGAGGCCCAGGAGAGTGCAATCAAACAATGAGTTTATTAGAACACACGCAGGAGAAGAAGTATGCCACATCACATCAGCACACGTCTCGTGCTAAGAATACACTTGAAAATGATTTTATAACATCAGGGTTAACGCGTCTTTCTTGCGTCGATTACAGATCAAATACATCGATTACAGTAAATGGTACATCTTAGACGGCTAAAAACAGACACAGAAGTTCCTTTTTCTATAACACCTTCCATACATGGCAATAAATTTCAAGCCTAGATGATCTCTAAGGGCTTGTCCTTTTCTTAACTGGTCTTCTGTCATCTGTTACTAAGTAAACTGAAATGCAGTTAGAAGCTAAATGAATTTCGGGCCTTTGGCCTGGCAGGCTTCTGGATTATATGTGTGTTGTAAGCGTGTATGCTGTCTATCCTTCTATGCTCCAAGTCACCCACACAATAGATTGTGAAGACATAGTGCTTCACAAAGCTTAAAACCTTCTTTAATAGACTGAGCAGCAACACTGAATGAGCACAAACATGCATGTGTATAAAAGAATCATAGCTGCACCTGTAATAAAAGGTTAACGTGGTGGCAATAGCTTTAACAAACATCTTTAATGCAATATCAAGGCTGTAGGATATATTATTAATGCAATGTTAATAATGCAGGTTATATTCTAGCAGTAAAATAATTTCTGTATCTCCACAATACTCATATACACATATATAAATACAGAGTATATAATAGGGATAAATATAATAAATAGAAATAAGAATACCAGAGAACTGCACATTTCAACTATTGTGAGTCTATTGCACCGTTATATATTAAAAAATATATATATTGCACAGTGAAAAAGGCACCACAGCGCTCTCTTTGTCCCCGTTTCCCCTCCCTCTCCCCTCTAGCGAGGAGTTAAACAGTTTGATGGCGTTTGGGACAAAGTCTTTAAGTCTGTTGGTCCTTGACTTTGGGAGAAGCAACCTGTCACTTAACAGGCTCCTCCGGTTGTTTATGGCTGTGTGCAGAGGATGCCCAGCATTGTCAATAATGTCCAACTTAATGTCATCTTCTCTGCCACTGTCACCAGAGTGTCCAGCTTCATGCCAACCACAGAGCCAGCCTTCCTGATTAGTTTTTCTAGCCTGGACACTTCCTTCTTTGCTGTGCTGCCCCCCAGCACACCACAGCATAGAACATATACACTATACTACTGTATTCCACAGAAAACTACATACTTTATTAGGTACACCTCATTGGACCCCGTTTTGTCTTCAAACTGCTTTAATTCTTCATGTCAGAGGTTCAACAAGGTGCTAGAAACATTTCTCTGAGATAGCATCAGCAGATTTGCCAGCTGCTCATCCATGATGTGAATCTCCCGTTCCACCACATCCCAAAGGTGCTCTATTAGATTTAGATCTGGTGATTGTGGAGACCATTTGAGTGCAGTGAACTAATTTTCATGTCCAAGAAACCAGCTTGAGATGAAGAGCGAGTTGCATGGGATGTTATACCACTGGAAGAAGCCACAACAAGAGATGAGCACACTGTAGTTATAGAAGACATGGTCAGCAACAATTCTCTGTAAACCCTACAGAGAAAGGTCACCTTAAATCACCTTTCTTCCCCATTCCCATGGTCTGCTTGAACCTCAGCAGGTCTTTACCGTGTCTGTGTGCCTGATTGCACTGAGCTGCTGATTGACTGTTTTTGTCAACAAGCAGTTGAAAGGGTGTACCTAATAAAGTGACAGGGAATGCATAATAGTTTTCCAAACAACAACAGCATCAGTGGGCAAATGCTGCAAATCAACATCTGTTTTCAGTCAAAGCCTGCTATTGTCTGTGGTAATTATGACTGGAGAAAAGGAGGAAGATAGGTGACATTATCACAGAGCGACTAGTCTGAATAATGAGGGGGTTGAGGTGGATGGATGGATGGTGCAAAAGACTTTTATTATTACTGGTTATTAGTCTAACCATTATGATGAAGGCACCATAGCATTAAAAAAAATAATCACTTTGAGCCAAACCACATTCAGACCCTTAGGTCAAATCATAAAAGAGAAGTAACTGTGATGATTGTTAGGAGGATCAGATTAGAACATATAAAGGTGCTAAGCTCAAACAAATTATATATTTTAACCTTTAATTTAAAGAGCCTGTTGAATAATGCTTATTTTTATCTGGTAGGATGTGCAGTTAGGCAGTAAGTAGGCACATTAGCTGTGTTATTGCTAGTGTACTTCAGGGGCTGTGATGAGCCTCATGGAACAAAAAAAGGGCTGATTCATTCTTTCAGGTGTGGTATGTGTGCTTCTAAAGCCACAAAATAAACAAGCATTGACGTTCCAGGCAGGTGTTGCAGGTATGTGTGTAAAAGGGAAACAAGGGATTTTCCCAGAGGTACTGGACAGGTTGAGTGGTGTGAAAACAGGCTGTGAATGGCAGCAACAGACTCACAACCCTAAGGTGTTTTTCAGAGCTCTGAACACTGGGAATGTAGTCAGACAAAGCTGATGCAATAGGATGATATTTGTGACAGTACACACAAAATAGAACAAGGACATGACTCGGATGCAGAATGTCGAAGTACAGAGAAAAGCGTTCAGAGCGGCGGTCTGTGTGGTGACTGAAGCAGCAGGAATAAAATCAGGCATTATATTAGCGAGGGTTGGTGATGAAAAACAATATCAGAGTCCTCTGTCTGCCTCAAAATAATAGCTTTTATTTGTGCATTTATTTTGTATTATTTTACCACAATAAAATAGCTAATTACCCACAGGAGACTGTTTTTTTCCTCTGAGGCAGTATCCCAGAGGTACACTAGACAGAGTGGTGATAACGTGTTAATGCTCCTGCTAATAATAAATTGGGATTTATTTTATTCTGATGAAGTTGGAATATTTATACCAAATTTAGGAAAAACTAATATGGATGTTAATATATATTAATAATTGAAGATTTTAATAATTGTCAGCCATGACAAAAACTGCTTGAATTTCACACCGTTGTGTGATATGATTAAGATAATAAACTAGCCGTTCCAGCGTCCATCTGCTCTGTGCTCAGTGGGAAAGGCCACTTTGAAGTTGAATTGTCATGGCTGTTACAGAGTGTCAAGTGTTTGTATTGCTGGAGAGCACAAACATGAGCAACAGAGACACGAGCTTTGCTGTCTTATCAACAGCCTTTTCAAGAGAAATTGAAAGCGGTTAGAGATGCTCACGCAGTGGAATAAAGGGGACACAACTACGTGCTTCACCTTCACGTTTCTCACTAAGTGGTGAAAATACAAATTGGGTCAGGTTTCCGGAGTCTTTATGAGAAAGAGGAAGTAAATAAAAAACTTTCTGTTTAGGTAACCGCGGCTGTTTGCGACACTGTTTTGTTTTTCTAAGATACAATGACTGTGAATGTTTTCCACCAGCTTCTAATCATTTCTGTGTGGAAACTAAATACATTTGCCATTTAATGTCCGGTGGAAAGAACAACATTTTACAGTCATACAGTAGGCTGAATGTTGGGCTATGGTGGAACTCAGTAATCATAAGCTAGTGGTTAGGGTTTGAGGGATCATCAGATGATTAATGGAACAGGCAATTTTTGTTTTGTTGCAAATTTTAGGAAATATGGTTGTTTTATTGTCTTTTGATCTGTTTTTGTTTTTTTGAAGTTCTTTTTGGTGAAATAAGTCATGGTCCTGGGTTGGTGACCCAGTGTTTTGTGTTTTGAATTAATAATAGTCTTTGCTTTCGATCGTGGGGCGATCGTGGCTCAAGAGTTGGGAGTTCGCCTTGTAATCGGAAGGTTGCCGGTTCGAGCCCCGGCTTGGACAGTCTCGGTCGTTGTGTCCTTGGGCAAGACACTTCACCCGTTGCCTACTGGTGGTGGTCAGAGGGCCCGGTGGCGCCAGTGTCCGGCAGCCTCGCCTCTGTCAGTGCGCCCCAGGGTGGCTGTGGCTACAATGTAGCTTGCCATCACATGTGGATGACTGGATATGTAAAACGCCTTGGGGTCCTTAGGGGCTAAGTAAAGCACTATACAAATACAGGCCGTTTACCATTTGCTTTCATTATTATTTAGAATTTCTAGGTCTCATGGTTTCTGTGCCTTCCCCATGTTCCACGTTTAGTTACTCTTGTCTCCGTGTTTCTTGTTCTCTCTGTTCCCTCTGTTCCACTAGTCATCCTGTCTCCGGGTCTCAGTGTCTAGTCTTGTCTCTGTTTTAATTTCCCCAGTCA